GAGGTCAAAAAATAAAAAATAAAAATGAAGTCAAAAAAATAATAGAAATGAGAAATCAATTAAAATACTAAGCACACTTTTAGATGATAAAGAACTAAGTGTGTTGTATTAGCAAACTGAGCATAGTGCTGATGCCATCTACAGCACAATGACAACCTCTGCAGCACATACAGGATTTGCAAAAACGTATTAGGAAACTACATGAAAACTGCAATGTATTTTGATCTTTCTATGAAATATACAAATAGAACAGCTCTTTTTTCCACCATGTTCCCTGAAATCAGGTTTACATGTAAATAGACCTGTTTTGTGGTGATCAAATGTTTTCTATTTAACAAACAAAACAGCTTKTTCCGTGCTCTTTTCACTAATAATGAACAGTTTTTGACCAATCAGCATGCATGTTCTATCCTAACTATAGAATAATACATACCACATCTCATTCCCTAGAGTAACATTTTTTTCGAAAAAAGACATGTGAATATGGAGACTTGTATCTCAAACAAAGAATCCTATCGTCAAGGGTATGACTTATGGTGTGAAATGAGAAAATATTGCACCACAATGAATGAAATTTATTCTTTTTTTTAAATATGCCATTTAGAGCCACAACCAATATAACAGTAGATAATACTAAAGAATTATTATCACTCACCTTGTGTGTGTCCTTCAAATGTTCTAACTTTACATCTTCCATTCAACCAGTTCTTTCTGAGGAGGTATCTTTCGGCAAACATCTTCTTCCACTAAAACAAAACAATTTCAAGGAAAGATGTAATAGAGTGCAAACAATTAATCCGTGAAACACTAATTACTAAATAGTACAAAATAGTGCTAGTTAAACAATAGAAAACAATGGAATTTGCATGAAATTGTGCTATTTAGTATCACTAAAGTTTCACGGTTATATTGTTTGCACTCTAGCAGCTTAACATGCAGGAATCATTTATTTTCTGGCAGAAAAGAAAATCTAGATTTTCATGCATGCTAATCAAGAGATTCAATGGCATGTTTCATTGGCCGAGTATGCCCTAGGAAACCTAGAGATTCCTAAAAATGTTGGCTATTACCAAAATCAAGAAGGATTAGACTAATATACTCACCTGGACAGTGCCGCAAGGCAATATCATCTGTTTTTCTTCAGTTTTTCGGGATAACTGCCATTCATTGCTCCTAAATAATTCAATAAAATTTTATCACTTGCTGTACAGGGCCCGGTTGTACGAAGGGTGGATAGCACTATCAGACGGATAAATTCTTATCAAATAAATACTGTTATCAAATAAATTTATCCACTCGATAACATTTATCCATAGCGCTATCCACCCTTGGTTCAACAGGGCCCAGACTAATAAATTCTTGGCTAACAGATGTTAATTCGAATAATAATTATTTTCATACTTGCACAATTCTTTCCAGATCAATGGATTGCTTGCCAAGCTGTTCCAGAATCTGTTGACTTGACTACATCTACAAAGGCTTTCTGAAAGACACAACAAATATTACATAAGATTCCGCACCCTTGTTGGTACATCAGATATGCATATCCAGTGTTGAGCCCATGACTATAAAAAAGTTATTATTACCAGTGAGAGCAGAGAGGCAAATATTCCCAACCTCCATGCTACCCATGAAAAAATAACTAGTGGCATAGGGATAGAGTGCTTGCACTAAACCAGTGAAACTTATACTAATTTTTAGCACTAAATAGTGATAACTAAACAATAGAAAACAAAGGATTCTGTATGAAATAGTACTAATTAGTACTAATTATTGTGCACGGGTTTAGTGCATGCACTCTAAGAGTGCTCGCATCTGACTAATGTGACTCAGGTTTGATTCCCAGACTCAGTATTATAAATATGTGAGTAAGGTTGCTTGTTGGTTCTCTCTTGTTTTCAAGGACTTTCTCTTTTTTCTCTGGTTTTCATTCCTCCACAAAATTCAACTTCTACATTCTAACAGCCAACTTTTGATATTCTGGTTGAGTGATCAAGCACAAAACATTTCAAGTTGAGGCTCTGGGGAAACAATAGCATAATTGTGATCATTCTTTTGTTTCCCCAGATCCTTGACTCAGATTGTTTTGAGCTAGATCACTTAACCAGAATATCAAAAGTTGGCTATTGGAGTTCAGTGGAAGAAAAACCACCCTGTCATTAATTTGCATTAAAATCCATCTCAAGCAACATGCCTGATGAAGACCAGTGGCTCTAATCGAAACTTCGCCTTGTTTCAAAATAGTTCCAGWAAGTGACTATTTTTTTTCTTTATTTTCCATCATTATTATAATCTATTTATTAGAATAGTTTATGTTTAAAATACCTGGATCTAAGTATGACATAACAGCATTGGTCACTGTATGTGGTAACCATTCCAACATGTCTTGACAATTCGACGGACAGGTCTTGTGAAGGACTGGCTCCATAATGACAGAAAGAAGGTGCATTTGAGGTAATTCACACTGCTCCTACACATAACAACAAATTACAGAAATTATTGATTAAGGAATGTAATAGCAATGGCAATTTGTGTGTGGGAAGGTAGGTTTGCGAGGGGATCTTTGTAAACTCTACAGAATTTCAGGTAAATCTGGGATACCTGTGGCAAAGAAATCAATAAGCACAATAATAGGAACTYAAAATTTGAGCAGGTTTTTTAAATTTAAGACTATTAAAAGCTTGAAGTATGAACGCAGCTGTGACACTGTGTATTCCATGGTGAGACTGATAACATTGCGCAAGAATTTACTCTCCATCCAATCAAATACCCGAAACCAACATGAAGATGGTGCAGACGCCGTCACTCCAAGGTCACGGCACGGCCCTATAGAATGTGTAGTTCCAGAAATCATCCATACCCACCCCACAGAGGAATTTGGAATTTCCGAAGAGTAGGGGGGTCAGAGAAAGAACAAAAATTACAGAGTTTGTATGGAAGAAAATTGGAATTTCTGGGGGGTAGCTGGTGTCTTAAAAAAATTCCTCCGTGAGATGGGTATGGATAATTTTTGGAACTACACAATTTACACTTAGGCCGGGTTCAGACGTTGATCTTTTGCAGTGTCGAATTTAATTGGAATTGAAGTCAACTCAAATTCATTRAAATTCGACGTCCGTTTCAAACGTTGATTTTAATGTTGCTGGTCGCAATTGACAAAAACCAAAAACTGCTGAAATCTTGAGCCTTTTTAATTTATGCATTAGATTCGGCTCAACAAAAGATAGACATTTGAATCAACGCCAGTCTTTTGCCGTTTCGCACAACTCATGCAGTTGACTTTAATTCTTTGCYGACCTTAATTAAATCTGTCGATTTCAAATGATTCAAACGTCACTCTTCTCATGCACTAAATGTAAATAATTAGATTCGGCGCGGCAAAAGATTGATGTCTGAAGCGGGCCTTACACTTACAAGTACAACTGATATTTTCTTAAGAATTCTTACCAAAAGTTTCTTGATTAGTATATTTTTCTGTTCATCATTGAATTCTGAAAACCAGTTCAAAATAGTCTGTGGACCAAAACATATTGTAATGAATTATTGTTTAAGTGAATTAGTTATACTTCAAGATTAGAAGGCTTAAAATAGTGGCCAGTCTTTGGACAATGTCTGGACAGAATGTCAACTTGTCTAGTCAAATCTTTGCCTTGTCGATCATTTTGACCAGTATTATAATTGAGCCAGCAACAGGGTATGACTACTTTGGCTGCTGATGATGACTGGCGACTGACTGGCCATTTTTTTTCTAAGCAATGATGTTAAGATACAAAAACACACAGCATCAAGACAACTGCCAATGAGAGGTATCTTTGAGCAGAGGTGCTTCATGTTGGTTTAAGCCTGTGTTCAAGGGTTTTTCTCTGAATTTTTTGGAATTTTCCCCCTGCAAAAATTAGCTTCTTAGTTTGAATTTGAACTGGTATCGAAAGCTTAATCAGGAGGCAATGGTTTGGAAGACCTTAGCAATTACTCAATGTCCTTTGACCAAAAATACATTCCCTTTTTTAATTTTGTTTTGACAGCTGCATAACCAAAATTAATTATAACAACTAATCCCTATAACACAGACTTTGYTTATTAATCACTATTAACATCCTTGAAAATTTTAAGCAAAGAAAAAAAAGACATACTTCTGTTTGATRCTTAAAATGTGGCCCATCAACTTTTGGCTTGCCTTGTTTAAGCACTATTCGTCTTGTCTGCTGTAAACTGCTTCCTAGAATGTTTTTACTTTTATTTTCTGGTATTTTGTTTCCACCTGAAGACTTTAGAGGTACTCTAGAGGAGAAATTTGAATTAACACTTTTAATTTTTGGTAGAATATTTTCATCTTTTGATATTGATTTCCCTTCGTCTGATGTTGCCATGTTTGATGGTAGTGAAGGATCACCAATCGTATTCTTCTCTGCAGCGGATGTTTCATCTTTTTCTTCTGATTCAGGTGCTGAATCATTTGTCATCGTACACAATATCTCTGATGTGTTTGAATTATCTTCACTTTGGGAAAGTGGATTTTCCTTGACATAAATACTATCTTTTAACTCCTCAATAATCAGATCTGACAAAGTACTTGGAGATTGAAGTTTGGTTTCAGCTTGGAAATTGATTCTGCCTTCCTTAGAAAAATCAGTGACTTGATCCTCTATTTTTATACAGTAGATTCTAGTTTCTGATGCTTGACTGCTTTCTGGACTTTCCTTCGTCTGTGCCATACTATGTTCATCATATTCCTTGGGTGATTCAATATTTTTAGTATTCCCTTTAGCAAGACTATCTGGTATTTCTCTAATGATATCTAGCTTTGCATAAGCTGTTCTTTTGTCAGTCGCACATATTTCATTCAACGAATTCAAATGTACTGAGTCCAAAGCACTTGCATCTGAGCTACTAATTATCTCTTGGCTTTCCAAAATTACTTGTCCATTATCTGATGATGAAAGCATAGATTCAGATAACTGATGAATGTCTTTTTTCAGTGTGTCTGGTTGACTAATGTTTTCTTGATGTTGTGATGCTGTGATGAGATGTTGTGAAGACGGACTAGTGACCTCATTAAAGGGGTCTTTAACCATAAAACATTCTTTCATTGACACAATAGCACAATTATTGGCACTCTCATCTAAATCCTTTGAAATGTTCTCTGTATTGTTTCTGTTTTCCTCACTGCATTGTTCTTTTTCAGCAAAAAATTCATTATCCAGCAAATCGGATTGCAACGTCAAGGATAACCCTTCAGTGTCATCACACATTTTAGCATCCAGACATAAATTTGAATGTAAAGTATCTGAAATTCCAATATTTCCAACAACGTCTATGTCAGTATTATCATCTCTTGTTTGCTTTATTGAACACTTACTACACACATCCAAATCTTTCACATCATTTGGCAATATTGCCCTCGGAATACATCCATCTTTACCAACTATAGAATAATTATTTCCTGAACTCTTAAAGAAGTGAATAACCCCTATTGTTAATCCGTTCTGGTTTTTTATTTGGTTGGTTCCAGATAGTAGTGGTGTACTTTTGCCCATTCTGAGTTCACTCCCATCTGATTTAAACTCTTTGAGGCACAACTTTGAGGAGTCGAATCCACTAAAAGTAGCGGTTTTTCTAAGACCACAAATTCTTTTCTGCTTCTGAGGSGGGGAAAAAGCCTCGTAGGAATGATTCGCAGCTAATAAGCGCTTCTTGCGGGGCCAACTATTGTAGCTCGGGCCTGAGAAACTCTTATTTTTCGGCTTACAGCCACAAAGAAGGCCTTGACAGCTTGGGCTACAGACGTCAGGAACAGGTCTTTCATTCAAAGACAACAAACTCAATGGCAAAGACAATGAACTTCTGACACTTCCTTTTAACTGTTCCTCTTGTTTTAAGCTCATTTGTTTTGCCATTTCACTTACCAATAGAGTAGAACTAGCAGTAGTATTAGAGCATTTTCGACCAAATCCAGCAAAGTCGTGAAAATTCCCTGTTGCTGTTTGACAACTCGTCGAAGTTGGGTCTGCGTTTTCCTTATTATTATCTTCCTGTAAACTCGAATTTGCATCACTGGCAAAATGTTTTAACTTCTTTCTTTTCAAATAGTTAAAGCTCCTTGTCTTTCTTATCCCCGATTTTGTTTTTGTTTTGTAAAAAGAGTTCAGTTTAATTCCAGCGGAATTCAACACAGGAACCTCTTGTTCTTCACTTCGTAGTACACTCAGCGATGGACTTTTAACTCCTTTTCCTGCTTCTTCGAGGCTTTCAGCTTTATTTTCCCTGTTACTTTTTGCCTTTCTAGTAAACCAAGCAACTTTTTCCCAGACTTTTGAGCGGGTTTTTGAGCGTCTTTTCGATGAACTTCTACACTTCGAGTCCGGCTCGTTGGACGCGTTTGCTGGCTGCAAGTCAACACCCGCTACTTCACTTGAGCTAATAATATTCTCCATTGCTATTTTAGGCCGATTTATACATAAAATGGGCGAGGTTTCTGAAATACTGTAAGGTTTCTTCAATTTTTTTTCGCTACTGACTGCAGCTTTTAGTGAGAATGATCAATCACAAATAAACCACCTTCCGATCGATCGGCCATGTAATATTATTACTTTAACGAGACCCGATTACTGTACGATGAAATATCGATTACAGTGATTATCTGGATCGGCACGTCTCAGGCTTTCGTGATTGTAATTTATTTTCTGTTTTTATCTTTTCATGACCAATTTTTAAGAATCTTAAGTTCTTTGGAAAGCTAATAACTTCGAAATTCATTTAGCTTTCAGTTCGGGAAGGGAATGACGCGCCCATCTATTCGACTCGGACTTCGGAGGTTATAAATAACTGCGTCGAATCTTTTGATTCAAGTTACTATGTTATTTTAAGAGTCTTATTTCAGTCTGTTATAAAAAAGCCCCAAAATAATCGACCATTATRCATATACCGCGCTTTCTATAAATATGACAAGCTAAAAAAGGGGGAGTGTTTTTTAATGCGCGCAATCCTGGTTTTGTACAAAAGTCCGTATACTTATTGATGGGTTGCAAGCATTCCCAAGAGAGTTAAAAGACAAAAACATGGCGGCCATTGTGGTATTAACAATGGATGCTAATGAGAAATATTTTGTTGAATGGTACCAACATGGCCGCGATGACGTAACGTGCAAGCGAAGAATTCCGCGCGCGTTGATTTGGATCAGAACGAATCAATACGGAGGTAGATCGAGCCATGCACATATTAGTGGCCGGAGAAATCACTCCTTTCTGGTGGCAGCGGAGTTGGGGGCTAGCCGCTATAGAGTGAACTTGAGCGGTATATTTAATAGAGGGACCTAACTCCATTTCCCAGCCCCTATATTGACCAAATCCCATAGTCACAGCCTATTGCTGAAGCATCAATCCCATTCCCTTTTTCATTGTCTTGTTTGACCAGTGCATAAATCCCATTTTTCCAGTCCAAGAAAGGCGAATACCCTGCAGCTCCCATTTTACCCCTTTACCTCTGAATAGCCTCTTTCACCTTGATGCTCTTCGCCGATTAGCTGTAATATAGCGCAAAAGTTGAATTCCGCGAACTTGTCCGTGGCCAAATTTAAGAATTGCTCCCTCCGCTGCCCCTCCACTCACACATATGTCACGATCGGTACCCCGCGCTACGCCAATACTTAGAGTGTGCTTTGCCAGTATCTTATTTTCCCCAGACTATGAAATGTTTTAGACATTAATTGCATGTTGAAGTGCAGCATATAGCTGAAGCAATTATTGCATGAGGCTGACTGAAAATAATTTTATGTGGCGAACGAGCAATTATTTACCGCGGTACCGAGGCAGACAGAGAGGCAAATGATTGATCGCGGGACCGGCTAACGAATCACGATACTTTGCAATAACTGAAAATTTATCCATTGTCGATACTATCAGGTTTGTGGTACAAGATTTGAATTCCACTGGGAAAACTGCTGCAACGATGATTGGTTCGCTATATAGTCTTATTGTGCACACTGCTGACCAGGACTTTTACGTATACAGCACGGAAATGACGTCGACATTCGAAACACTCCCGGCGCGCGTGTGCGTGTTACAGGAACGACATGGCACTAAAATCATACCCGCGATTTTTTTTTGGGGGGGGGGCAGAGTCAAACGAAAGTTAATTTCTTCAAAGACCCTATCAAAGTTGATTAGCGTACTGTTCACTAATTAGCACTAATTAGTCCACTAATTATAAATAACAAAGAATCCGCTTTTGAATCTGCATGATTGGTTCAAGTTGAAAATATCTTACAATTACAATCAATTTTCTAAAAATTATGACGGTATGTGCATTAAAGCTGATTAACACGCCTTTTGTTAATTAGTCGACACAACTCTAATTAATTGATTAATTAATGAAATAGGTGGAGTTAAGGACGTCATGGGCATAGTTCGATTGCGTGCACTCTTCCATAGGTACGCGCACAAGTTTTTACGCCCTTACAAAATCCCACCTTCTCATAAAAACTGTTTCTCGGGGGAGGGGGGAAGGGGGAGGAGGGAAGGGGGAGGGGGAAGGCCTGAGAAGGGGTAGGCCTAGACTTAATGAAGGAATTAACTTTATTTATCCATGGTAAACGACTCAGTTACACTACTTGTCAGGCGTGCCGTGCTAGAATTAAAGCAATGAATATGAATAAAGAATATAAAACTATCTATTTTGATATGTAATAATATATAATTATATATGCTATCTACTTATATTAATATCTACCTACCTATCCGATCTACCTATGCTAATTAATGTATCCTAATTACGCGTAAATATGTAAAATAGACATGTTCATTTATAGAACTAATTATTTAAGGGTGCTATTGCAAGTTTTTCGCTGCAGAGCTCTTTTGAAGGATTCCAAAGTATCGAGCTCTCGCATTTCGTTCTAATCAATAAAAGATCGTTATTTAAAGACCATGCACCACTGCGTTACGTGAACGTGCGTTACCGTCTTTATCGTTAAGTGTTTTCGTGACGCAATCATGATACAACGAGTCAGGTATTTTAGAAAGTTCTTGATTACAACATTAAAAATACTTTATAAAAAGTTACTCAAATGAAATTTGGGAAAGTAAATGTTTTGTCCTAGAAACGCCTAGGAATAATCCCTACAAACGTCTGCTTCAGAGATCAAAATTCCTCCATAAAGAAATAAATGCAATTTCAATTTTCACCCTTAAATTTCGATGGTAAAATAACTACTTTATACAGTTATATCTAACTAATGGCCAGTCTGAAAAAGTAAAACAAGCCGGCGGGAAAAGAAATATTTTGTTTTGTTTTTTTGTTTTCTTAATTATGATTTATATTTATTTGATATCTGTCGAATGGGCAACCTTTATAGATTAAAGATTCGGCAATTAGATTTAGATATGCAAGAAACCTTGAATTTACCTTTCACGAAAAATTGATAAATATATTTAGAATATATATATATATCCATTTATTATTATTTGTTATCGATTTTTTTTCAGTTGTATTAATTTTCTCTAAGTGCAACCGATGACCAAAGACACAAGAATCCCGAGGCCACTGTGAGCGTCATGTTTTATACCCACCCCCGTAAGTCCTAAATATAGCCCCATAGGATCGAGGTCATATATAACTTAGTGACGTACACGCCCGATATTTTGTTCTTATTTCCAAGATTGGGAGCGTCTACTTGTCTTGTGTATATAGGAGTTGGCTTGAATTTTCTGTTTAAACAACCACAATTTTCGCTTTCTAGACTCCCTTACTCAAGATAAGGTAAATTTGCTGTCTTCGCTTCCCCTCCCATTTCGGAAAACGAGCCAAAATGATTTGGTTTGGCCGAGTTGTTTTTACTTTACTAAGATGGCGACTCCTTGTTTTCTTGTAGGTCCCTCACTTTGAAAGCTGTTTCTTTTGAAAATGCGTGAATATAAACTTGTCGTTCTTGGTTCTGGAGGTGTAGGCAAAAGTGCTCTGGTAAGGCAACTCGTTTTACTTCGATCGGAAATAATGGCTGGCGTTGCAAGTTTAAAATTGTCGAGTCAGTTCAACGGCTATACAAAGAAAATCTTTCAAGAGGAGGCTCTATTAACCAATTWTTATTTTTATTTTTCTTTATAGACAGTTCAGTTCGTTCAAGGGATATTTGTCGAGAAGTATGACCCAACGATTGAAGATTCTTATCGAAAGGTAACGAATTTTCGCCGTTTTTTAAACTAAGATTTCTAACTATCGACTTGCCTTGAGGTTTTACGAGACCATGAATAACACTTGGGGAGAATTTTTAGAGGAAATATCAACTAAAGATTCCTTTTTCTTTTTTCTCTTAGCAAGTGGAAGTTGATGCACAACAGTGTATGTTGGAAATACTTGATACAGCAGGCACAGTGAGTTTTATTTTCGATATTTGATTTTATTAAAGTCGTTCTACGAATTTCAAACCGCAAGCGATCAACAGGAAACGTCTTGCAAATCAATGTCTACACTAAGTTGGTACAAGACTTTTCCTATTCTCTAATAATATTGTTTTTTATCTTCTATAGAAGTTAAAGATTTAGTTAATATAGTTTTAAATCAAAAATTATCGAACAGTGGGCGATCAGGCGTTATAAAATGTGGACAATCTTTCGATACTAGAACAAGTCTTTTTCAAGACATAACTTGCTTCAAACACAACGTCTAACCTGCAATTATATATTATTTTGATTTGATTTATTATATGTCTCTGGAACCTTTTTAAATGCCTTTAGTATTCATAATTTTGGCTATCGCTAGACTACTTAAAATCATAGTTATTTAATGGCAACATTTTTTTTTACGCTATCCTAAACGAGGATGGTCGACACCTCGCTTTGTAGACAACTGTTGTATAATCTTAATTACCTATTATCAAATGAATTGAGTAAAGATGGGCTGTCTTTAGAATTATTTATCATCTTAAAAGGAAATAGAACGTTGGACTTACAAGGATATGACCTCTAATTTGTCAGAACATGTTACAAGTTTTAGTTTGAAACATATACTGTATAGATGCCAGACCATATGTAATTTGTGGGATGTATTTCCTTGGATTTGATACTGGACTTAGCTCTGAATCACACACCTTCATGTCCTTGGCCCCTTGACTTTATTGAACCTGATACATCAGAGGTAACTAAGTTACGGCACTGTTAACTCACAGATCACAAATTGGAATTTGGCCTGTTAGGTTTTTGGGTTTTGTATATTATAAGGGAAGCAAATCAGGAACCCGAAGAAAAGCCTTGAAAAGACCCAGAAATCAAACCTGGGACTCCAGAGGTAAGAGGTGAGCTCACTCCCACTACACCACCCTTAGCTTAATTCCCTCACTTATGATATACAGTTCAGGTAGAAGTGCATTCCCATTACAACACCCTTGATTTATTTTGCCTTAATGTCAAAATCAGGTTATTTTGTAGACTTGCTACGAGTCATCCACTCTTTTTCTCTACCTGCCCTTTGAAGGAGAAATTGGCAAGCACAAAGTGCAAGCATATGACGTCTTGTTTCCCTTGCAGGGATTCGATTTCCATTTCGAGCCAAAAATGTTGCCATTGGCTGTTTAATATAATATATTTACTGACGGATAAACCTCTCCGTAAATTTGGCATGAAGCAGAAATAAAAAGTCCTCAGTCCACTCCCCTAGTAAAAAGAAAAGGTACCGAGGAATTCTGGAAAGCCTCATTATTTTGTTATGACAAACACTATTGTATTAGGCAAGGCTTGTCAAATTATATAGCATTGAAATAGTAACTGATTCAATCAGTATACCAAATCAAACTATGTGTTTAGTAAAGACTGAACATTTCATATTTCCTTAATCCTTAGTAGGCAGATCCAGGATAATTTCAAGGAGTTGGCTATAACTTAGAAAGACAGTTTATTGCTTCCTCTTTGGGTTTTTGCATTTTTCTTTATTCAAGATAATATTTTAAATTCTATAAGGGGGAGATATACATACAGTATAAAGGTGCATGGGTTTTGACCTATTGGTCCCTTAAATCAACTTTTCAAAAAAAAATTATGTTATTCACACAAGCATCTGAATGAGGCATTCATGCTAAATAAGTCTCTATCAAGTTTGACATGAATGCAAAATGATATGATGATAATGACCATGATTGGAATTAGTAACAATTTCTTATTGTGGGTGGCCTCTTCTAGTTTCTTAGGCAATCATTAATTTAATCTCTGCTACATGTATGTTAGAATGAAGTCACTAAACCTGTGAAATAGATATTACACTAACACACTTTAGTAGACCCTAATTCCATTGTTTTCTTTTGTGTCTATTTGACTATTACACGTTGACTAATAATTTTTATTTCACGGGTTAAATAATCTCGTTCTAACTGCTAATAATGCAAAGCCGTTAATAGTTGTGTACTTTTGATATTAATTAATTTTAATTTTTCTATTATCTTTTTGTTTGTTTTTTGGTTCCACTTACCGTTTTAATAACTGAAGCAAAATCCTATTCACCAATTAGTTTGAGTTATACAATGTGCTTAAAAGTCCACTGAAAGCTCCATATTTTTAACAAAGACATAATATATATATATATATGAAGTTTTCATTATTAAGTCATTGATATATTGAATCATTTAAACAGTTTTATTCTTGGTCTTAATTTCTCGGGTGCRACTAATTTTTACATGTATGTTTAAAAACTAGATCAAGCTTTTTTATCCCTTAGGAATTTATCTTTATTCCTATATCTTGCAATATTCTAATCATTCACTAGAGAATGATGATGCTAAGCAGCTTTAAAACCGTATGTTCATTAATCCCTTAAAATTTTTAAAAGTAGGTTTTTTTTACTTTAACAAGGACAAGGTATTTAAAAAATAAATTATGATAAATTCATCGAAGCATGAATTTTATTGGAACAATTTTGATTTGTACATATATTATCTCAGAAGTATGTGAGCTGATAAATGTCATAATTGATTAAGTTAAAAAAACAAAAATTATATGAACATGTTGTCAATAAATTTGAGTTTGTTTTAATACTAATAAATAATAAATTTATTGGATAAACACAATTAATAATAATAATAAWAAATTTATTAATGTGTCACATCGTTTTTATTACAAAATAAACTAATTGGGGACACCTATCTAAGACCCTATAAGCCATTCTGGGGAACTAGTAGTTTACATTGTGGTCCAAGAAAAGAGAAAAAGACATATATGTATATATTGTAATAATCTGTATAAAAATAATACCTATCTAAAAAACTATGAACATGTAAGTTTAATATTATATGAAATGAAATTAACTACCATGCATTTATTTCAGTTATTGTATGCAGTAAGGAAGAGCAACCCTTGAAAGTGTCATTTATAAAAGTAGCATTAATTAAATTTTTTTTCCTTTTTTCAACAGGAACAATTTACAGCAATGCGTGATTTATACATGAAAAATGGACAAGGATTTGTTTTGGTGTACTCCATAACAGCTCAATCRACATTCAATGATCTTCAAGATTTAAGAGAACAAATCTTAAGAGTTAAAGATACTGATGATGTAAGTGTGGAAGAGTTGTTAATAGTATAATAATGGAAACTTTATTTATTTATTTTTTTTTTTCACTTACAATATTGTAAATCGTACTACAAATGGGTAATTTACAACTAACTACTTGAATTGAAGACACAGGCAAATACGCATTTACACATAAAAGCAAACAAACGAAGGGGGAAAATGATTAAAATTTCATCAAATCAATAATTAATAATAAAAAAATTTTTAAAAAAACTATAAAGCTTTTTGCTGTCGTATCACAGTGTGGGACAATCACAGCAGAGCTAGGCTCCAAACTAAATGAAAGCCCAAAGATCGAATTAGAATTTAGTAGTTGATTATAATAATAATAATAATAATAATAATGATAATACTTTATTAGGAGCATTCTACAAAGTCTCAATGCTCTTATGAGAATGACTAAACTGAAATGAAGAAATAGAAACATTAATTAGAAACATTTTGCTATATTATTTAAATAATTCCCTCGAGGATTTCCATTAGTGACACACAACTTCCTGAGTGTAGGGCAAGAATAAAGGATGAAATGTTTTAACTTCTCTAACTTCTTATATCTAGGTTCCCATGGTTCTTGTTGGGAACAAGTGCGACTTAGAAGATGAAAGGGTTGTAGGTAAAGATCAAGGTCAAAATTTAGCTAAGCAATTTTCAAACTGGTAAGTTTAATGTTTCGTTTAAGCAGTAAATGAGCTAGGGAGCTATCATYATGAATGTTTCATTCAGCAGCCTGCTTTAAATTTGTTGCTCTCAGAGTTCACATGTAGATCAAACTCTTTCCTAGTCCATTCTAGGAGTGAGTGTGAAAGATGGCRTAACTTTGAAAACGCTTTATGCTTTGATTCTCTCCAAGGATTCTTTAAGAATACATATATTTAAATATGATTTTCCCCTCGTTTTTTYGTAGCACATTCTTGGAAACTTCAGCCAAGTTAAAAATCAATGTCAATGAGATATTTTATGACTTGGTAAGACAGATAAACAGAAAAACTCCAGAAGCCAAGAACAGGAAGAAGAAAAAGGGATGTGTTTTGCTGTAAATTGAACTAAAGCTGAAATACCATCATGACTGTGTCTGGTTACACAGATAAACAATTTGATTCAGCCAAAAAGAAACTTGTCAAAAACTTCACATTCCTTAGGCACTGCATGTCGAGCACATTACTTGATAAAATGTGTATTTTGAGCTTGTTTTCTGATGGAGGGAGTTCATGCATGGTTGAAATGCATTGACAAAGTACAGACGGAGACTGAGGTACATTCATAAAGCTTGGTTAGAAGTTTCATCATAAAGTATCAATATTTTTTCCTACTAAGAATTTTTTTTTGCCAATGTGAGAAAACTTTTCTCTGTAGTTTTAAGAATTGATTTGAATTTTGATTTAGAATTGATTTTGAGATTTTTAATTAATACCCTTTGTGTTTAAATGAATGGGAGAGAGTTTTCTGCTTCGATGTTTTGTCCTTGTAATAGATCAATTTGATATAACAGATCTAAATATTCTGGATTTTCTTCAGTGAATAGTAACAAGACTACAGTTCTAGAACTACAGACTTTTTTTCAAATTTTTTATTCTGATTTACAAAGTTTTTTTTAACTTGGAACCGTTGTTTTGTTGCACCATAGCTAATAATCTATTAACTATTGTTGCACKTAAGAAACATCCAGATTCTACTTCTTTCCCAATGATTTATTTATAGTTTTGTTCATCTAATAATATTATTTTAACACAACATTTATTGTTATGGATCATAATGATCAGTTATGTAGTACGTCGATTCATAGACCTGTGACATCTTGATGCAGGGCTTCAAATAAAAGCTGGCCATGATTACTGGCCAAAATTAGTTTTAGCTCGGCCATTTCTGGCTCAAAATAGTTGGTCAAAGTTATACTGGAAAGTGAAGGATCAGCCTTTGTTTTTAGCCTTGTTATAATGTATAAATGCGAACAAGATATTTTTTGTTTTTTTATTGTCACTAATGCTCCAATTTTGGTCTTTTGGTTCATTTCTTTTGTTTTTAATAACCTCACATGAAATTCTATGATCTGACAAGCCTTTAACTCAAGGGGATCTCTCTGGAAAGGCAACCATCATTTGTTAGTTTTGACTATGGTCATCACTTACATGCAGAACAAATTAACAAATTTCAATAACAAGTTGACAAATTTTTACTAAATACGATAACTATTCACTGAGTGTGATAGATACATCTTGCTGCTTTACCTCTGACAGGGGCTTGCTCTAAATATTAAATTTAAACTTTAAAATAATAGCCAATTYGTGTTATTTTGGTTGAGTAGTCAACAACAATATAGGCTCAAAGGAAAAATAGTTACAATCATTCCATGTTTCCTTAACCTGTATGTAGCCCAATTTGTACCTTGCCGACTGCATGCACGCTGTTTCCTTGGAGCGTCTATAATGTGTGCAAGCACTCTTCTAGAATAGCGAAAATGGGCCATTATAAGAAGAATTGATTTGAAAATGAATTTGACTGAATGACGATATATTATGAATCACTCCATGATTATTAATTTAGAAATGAGTAGTTTTAAGACAGTTTTATAAATTATTACTGACATACTAATACTGTAGCAAGTTTAATAAACCACAGGGATAGCCACCCAATCTTTTTTTCTTGAACGAGTTTGAAAAAAATATGGTTGTGTAGCCACTAGCAACATTAACACCATAATCATTGACTTCTGTTTTAGAGGAAATATTGCCATTGCCTGAAGATGTAATAGAAATCTGTAAAAAAAAGCACCCCAACATTTTGGGTTATGATTCTCATGGGGGAAAACCTACATAGCACCCTCAGTTGATTTAATGTGTTCAGAAAGTCTAGAATGCAAGCAATATAACCATGAAACTTTAGTAATACTAAATACCACAATTTCAAGCAAATTCCATTGTTTTCTATTATTTTAATTAGCACTATTTTGTACTATTTAGTAATTAGTGTTTCAYGGATTAATTGTTTGCACTCTATTGTATATTATTGTCGTTCTATCTATATTGTATTGGGTGTGATTCATCGTATTTTTATGATAACATTATATCACATGCTTGCTATGTGGGTCCTCCCATTCTCATAGTGCTATCTCATTCAGAATATTCATCTGCTAAAGCACAAGTTTTCCATAGAATTTTTCTGGCTGACAGCACATGCTGGTCTGTATTTTACCACTATGCAGAGCAGATGATGAGATGCAAAGACTTTTCTTGACTAATCGAAAACCAGCAACTTGCCAAACATACCCTTAGTATTTCTAAAAATGTGAAAGTCAATTTAAGATGCTAACTTGGCTTTTTCTTGTGATATACTCCTATATCATGCTTGCGTGGCAGTATATTTGAATTAATTGAAAAAGGCATTTGCTATCAAATTTGTCACATCCATAGTTAAGTAAAACTGCAAAATTTCGTTAAGATTTCCCTTAAAACTGAAGAAGATATACATTTTTTGAAACTCAGTATTTTTTGGAATGTTTACGAAGAAATGTATGTGCCCAGCCTGATAACGAGGCTTTTGTGTATGCCATGCCCATACATTTCTTTGCAAAAAGAAAATGCTTAAAGTTTCAAAAATTCATTTCTGAATCAGTAAAAGGGCATTCTCTATAAAACTTTGCARTTTTAGTATTATTAATCTAACGAGTTTGATGGTAAACTCCTTTCTCGGGTAAATCAAAACAATTGTATTTTCACTCTCCCATGTGATATAGGTATATTATAGCCTAACCCACAGCCGCTTTCAGTGTCGTCATGCAACGCTTTCTCCCCTGAGTAGCTACTCGGGGGAGAAAGCGTTGTGTGACGACACTGAAAGCAGCTGTGGGGGAGACTAGGTATATTATTGACGTATGAAAAGTTGGACAACCATGTAATGTATACCAGGCTTCCTGTCAGATTTTTTGAGCTTGTTGCTTTTCTTTCCCAATATCTTTGTACAGCGTGATATAAATAAACACAATTAATTTATTCAGTATTTCCGTCTCCAGTGTTTGTTGGCTTTATATTTTCTAGTTGTAGACAGCAAAAAAATTCCAAAAAGGATTTATTGAAAACTATATGCTGTTTAGAGAAAATAACCTTTCAAAAAAATTGTTATAAAATATAGAAATGATTGAATCAAAATTCTTATACAGGGACCCCTCTCTGGATTCCAGCTTTTAGCTGAATGGGCCACCTTGTTTGAATAAAGGTTCAATAACCATTATGATACTGTATTCAAAATGTCAAGTTAATTTAGCAAAAACGTAGAGGAAGACAACTATAGCATGAATTAATAGTACAACAAAACGACGTTCCGCACAATCAAATTTGATAAAAAAAGTTTAAGCTTCTGAGAACTTCGCGCAACAGTTCCAGGGATTGATAAGCTCGTAGTAGTGGGTTTGTCCTTGGTATTCATCGTTGCGCGCAACAGTTCCAGGGGTTGAATGGCTCGCAGTAGTAGGTTTGTCTTTGGTATTCAACGTTGCGCGCAACAGCTCCAGGGGTTGATTGGCTCGTAGCAGTGGGTTTGTCCTTGGTATTAAACGTTTTGCGCAACAGTTCAAGGGGTTGATTGACTCTTAGTAGTGGGTTTGTCCTTGGTATTCAACGTTGTGCCAACATTTCCAGGGGTTGATTGATTCGTAGCAGTGGGATCGTCCTTGGTATTCAGCGTTGCGGGCAACAGTTTCAGGAGGATTACCGTCTTAACTAAGGGTTAAAGAGAAACCTTTGTGAGCTTTATCTTGAAGTATGATTCAAATATGGCATGATTTTATTATGAATATTACACAGATAAATTCAAGATTTTAGAGAATTAAAAGATTTAAATATATATTTAATTCAGCCTAAAATCTCCATCAAGATATTGTTTTTTAGTGTTTTTTAAATGTTAGTCGGCGAACAACAAGACATTGAGCATCGTGGGTCGCACTTCAACGATAATATGGTAGTAGACCATTTCAATGTTTTTTTCACATCTTTCACATTCGACAGCTCAATGGCGTTTCGGAAGGTGACAACCTTCTTTCATTCATCGGATTGATAAATCTATAACTCGCTGCGCTATCGACAGGAATTGCTTAATGATTCTATTCAGTAAATGGCCAATTCGTCGTGATAAAAAAAACCCAGAAATCTGAAAAACAGGAGTCCAAACGCGGCCTTTAATTTGAAGCTCAAAATGTCTTCTTCTGACATTATTAATGAACGATTTTAGGTCGAGCTGCTACGAATATATCATATATATAATCTGCTGTTAATAGCAGAGTTAACTCTGTTAATAGTTAAGTCATCTGTTACGTAATTATTATATCTGGCCCATTGACGCCTCCTCTGTACAGGTAGAGGAAGTTAAAAGAGAGCACCATTTTTACATCCGATTCATCAAAATCATGCCTTTTGAAGCCAATGATAAAGACGTAAAAAGATAGATAGAAARATAGATAAGATAGATGAACTTCATCTAAAAATGTAAACCCATTCAAGGTTAATAAGACAGGTGTATTTTTGAAATCCTTTTTAGTATTTGTATCTCTTGTGGAAGGTACCTTTTTTATTGGGAGAAGGCCTTGGCTTCAAAGGAGAGGGATATCAGTGCTAATATGACCTTTTTTTATAATTTAAGCTAGGGTCAGACCTTTTTATTTTTTTGACGAAAGCGGTTTCCTTGCATGGCCGTAGCCACTATAAAGGCAAAGCAGGCAGTTCCCTTGGTACATGCCACAAAYGACCCTTAAAACTATGGAAATCGCATTTCCGAGAGYCTTAACTCAAAATTGAGACATGAGACGTCCAATTTGATCGCAAAATGAGTTTGCTAGCCTGCGTCACATCCGGATGTGACGCAGGCTAGAGTTTGCTTGCACCTACCGAGTCTCGGATGATGTGGTACGGTGACCGGTATATTTTGATTGAACCAGTCTACGTCAGAGCCCCAGGCATAATATTAGCATATTATTGTGACAAGCATTACACGAAATAAAGATAAACGCGCTGTTGCTTTAGGCAAAACACACACACACAAAACTAAAAATCTGAGAAACTAAGAACAGAAATGAARCTCGGATACTATTGAACGCAAAATTGCTCTCACTATGAAGTCACATTAGAACAATCCTTTGTTTTGTTGCAAGGAATCATGGTCGTAGAAATACACAAATAAAACTGCGAAAAAATTGTATTTTTAAAACACAGAAAGGCATCATAGCCAAYAAATGCTGGCTTAGTTGTCCTGTTCGTTCCCTTGGGAATAACATAGGCCCTTCATCATTGCCCTCCACCTATATAGCCAACAAATACCACGTATATATATATTAGGATAAACACCAGTTAATATATAAAATGTTCGTAAACAAGACATATCAGAGATATCGAATCAGCTGCAGAGTAAAATTAGTGCAAATTCGTATCGTTCTTCACCACTCTGGCCCCCTCATAAACAAGCTTTTGACGTCATATGTATTTAGTAATTAGTCCTCGAGCACGAATGGGTTATTGACTTATAGGCCACGTGATGGTGAGAGGACTAATTGTTTGAGTCAAATCCAACTAGTTGGTCAAATAYTTAGAGGCAAAGAAGTCTTGAATTAAGTTAAATTCATTTTTTTGGCTTTCARMGCCGGCACTTTTCGATACTAGTAGGCTATTATTTATAGCCTACATTAAATCATCCAATCAGAATGCAGCATTGATGATAGACCGCTAGTGTTGGATTTATAAATCATAATGAGATTAATAACATGATAAAGCACGTATACACAGGAAAAGAAAGTACCTTAATCAACTRTGGACAAACGAAGCAAGTATTAAAAACAAAGAAAATAAAGAAATTCAAATCAAAGAAAGAAATGAAAGAAATTTATAAATAAACTGCGAGAGTAAATGAAATAAAGCTGAATGACATAAAGCAAAATTTTGTACCAAACTGAAAAAAAAAAAAGAATTTTAAGTTAAATGATAAAAAAGGCAAAGCAAAATAAAATAAAATGAGGTCAAATAAAAAGGCCCAATTTTGATGGAACTGATAAGATAATATAAAACGAATTAGTTGCATCAAAATTATAATTGATCAGCGCCGCGCGCGAAACTTCTGTCCCGTCCACAGAAATGAACTTTAAAAATAACCATGTTAGTGACGCGTGTAGGTCTTTAACTGATTGTTCTCAAACGATGACATCAATTACCAGGCGTTGGCAAACTCAAGGATTTTTTGAGATAACACGAATATACACCAACAGCTGTAGAATAATGAATGAAATTCCCAACTCGAGTTGTCTTTTGAAGTCAAAATTATTGGTATATATGGTTTAATGACAGACTGAATTACTTTATACAGACTTGGCAAACAWAAAAACCTCAGGCCTCATTTGCGTAGCTTCATTAAAAAGCGAAATCCAAATAYAAGATGGCAGATGTTAATTAAGAAGAAAATAATAAGACGAAAACAAACTAGACTCTGGGCTCAACTTCTGCATTTTGATGTGATTGCTTGCTTGGATCGGTATGTTATAATTTAGCGCATGCGTACGTAGTTCTTTATATTTTTTGGGGGGTCCGATTTTGATTTGTCRCAAATAAAAGCACACTGTTTTGTGTGAACATCTAAAGTGAGGACCACACTGGGCTAACTTAATTCAGAGATCGTTTCATTGCATGAGTTTAAATTATACAAATAATTTTGAAGGAGAAACGACGTCTAAAGTGTGTTGTTCTTGKCGACCGAGACGATTTTGACTCGGTCGTTGAATAATGGTCTTTTACGAAGCGAACACTGGTTTCGTGGTTATATTTTCTCTGCTAGATGTTCTAGCCGCTGTGAGCAATCTTGCTGTCATCCTACTTATGTTCTTCAAGCCGTCTCTACGAACYGTGAGCAATCTTCTCGTAGCCGTTCTCGCATTGGTGGAGTTTTCAGTTTCTCTTTTCGTCATTCCCTTCTCGATTGTCTCATACAAGAAGCATTCATGGCAATTCGGCGAAGGCTTTTGCAYTTTCCATGGCTATTTCTACCAGACATTATACATCGCTACGGCGACTCTAACATCGGTGATCAGTGTAGATAGGTATTATTCACTGGCGAATCCAATGAGCCACACTGCCAACATCGCCGAAAAACATTTACTATGGGTCGTGGGATTTGTGCTGGTACAGGCAGCCTTCTGGGCAAGCATACCGCTTTTTAATATCGGAGAACTGAACTATTCTTTCCTTCCCCAGCAATCTCGTTGTGGATTCAAGTGGACATTGAGTGGAGCGTTGGGAACCTATTATTTCTTCAATCTAATGATTAGCTTTATTCTACCCGCTTGTGCTATTATTGTCATGTACCATAAGAGTGTACGGGCTGCTCTGCAAAGCGCTAAAAAAATCAGACCGGGGAATATCCAGTTCCAAACGTCCAAAGATGGACAGTTCACGTCAGTAGCAAAAGCCCAGTCGACTAGCAACATCAAAGCAATAATTACAGTTTCTGTTATMGTTGGTAGTTTTCTTGCGAGTCGATTGCCAATGGTGGTGTGCAATATTGGGTCCTGGTATAGTGGCCAGGATTTCTGCCCTCCCATGGCCGAGCTAGCATTTTCCTGGATGTTGTACCTGGGTCCTTTATTGAATCCCTACATTTATACCTTYCTAAATAGGCGACTTAGGAAAGAAATTACGCGAACTATTAAATCCTTCATCAACACTAAAAGTTCTGAAGAAGAAGAAGAAGAGCCAAAAGATATTTTGGAATATTTGAGAACTATAACGGATAATTGTGTGTCTGCATCGCAGTCAAATTCTGGCAACGCAGAAATCCCCACTGTCTGTGCCGGAAGCAATGCAACAGAGATACATATAAACGAAAACATTACCGAAATCGAAATATTACAAACACCAACTACCACGGATGTAACTAGCTCTGTTTTCGAGATGCAAGTTGTTTCTTCTAAGGCAGCAGGTGAACCTGACAAAGAGTAACGACACAAAAAATTATCCAAATGATGTTTGAATTATSAGCCTGGACTTCAAAAGATATCACACATGTGGGCATAAATCAGACAAATTTAAATGGTCGTAAGTCAAATTGAGACATAAGATTGGTCTTTTGGGAAGTACATATATAATACATTTGGAGTATGTATGTGGAAAGGTTTGAATCGACACTCAGACATTATATGATGTATTCAGCCTGTGGGGCTTTCAGGAAGAAAACAGAATTCAAAGAACATGCTTTTAATTAAAGAAATAATTGGTTGAATATAGAAAAAAATAAAATAAAAAGATTTGCTGGTCAAAGGCAAGACAAGAGAAAAAAACTCTTTAAACGACATTTGCAATTTTACAGTTTTCATTTCTGCTTTCCTTTTACATATTGGAAAGAAATTAAAAGGTCTGTCTACCATTTCATTCGACTCAAAATTTCTTAAAATTAAAATTGTAAAGTAGAATTATTGATTTTGGTATATAATATAGCAGACACAGATAATGCTGATGTATATGTAGATAATACATGTTTTGAATCCATGAAAAACGCCGTCTGGTTACACTGATTGCTCCTAAAATAAGAAATTATCAATTGTTCAGACGAAAATTTCAAATGGCCAATATTGCTGATTATCGAATTAGTTTTCTTTGGAATCAAGTTCGGTATTTTTCAATGTAACTAATATAAAGATAAATATTTGCTAGCTTTATCATTAATATGAATCACTTCTTTGTAAATAAACGACTGGTTTTACAATGTAAGTTTGGAGCTCTGAGACATATTCGGCACTGCCAATTCAGAACCACAGTCTTCTGGTTTGAATCTTATATCGCTTATGTTTCGTTAATGTTACTTTAAAAATCTCGAATTCCAATCTGTTTTATCGAATAAAAGAGAATAAAAATTAAGAGCAATGGAGAGAAAATTGTTTTTTTTCCYAAGTCTTCATTGACTGATAAATTTTGTAAAGAAATAATACACGACTGAGAAGATTTCCCTCAGTTTAAGACATTCGTACCAGGAACGCTTGACAACGGAAAGGAGAAAAAAAMCCCTAGAGTTGCAGGTTTATTTGACCATTTTCTGAAATATATGTTACTTATTTTGTAATAAATTCATCCTTTGTACTTAAGAGTAGAAGTAGTGGTCTATTTTTAGCTTTTATTTTGACGACCATCGAAGCGTTGTTTCCGTCGTGAAGGTTATCATGAAGGGATAAAAATTTTATCTTCAGGACCGAGAGAACGACGAGGTTTTTCAGTCCAACTTATTCTATAATTCCAGTAATAATTTTCCCCGTTTTCATTTTTGTTTTCGGATTAGATAAATTTTTAGTTGATAAATAATTTTTTTTTTGTTGTTGAGTTTTTAGGATAATTGGTTAAATTAGCTTTGCACTTTTTGCCTTTGGCTTTGGATATTTCCTTTGCGTGTATTTTCCAGCTTCAATTTTTTTTTCAACGCCAAAATCTAGATTATTGCAGCTAAACTTTCACTAAGCCAACAACTTAAACAAGACAATTTTTAGTGTATTGTGCCTGAATTCAAGCTCATTAAAAAGAAGAACGAGAATATCTTAAATGGACTACGAAGAAAGAAAGGAATAAGGAACGGAACTAAAAAAGGACAAGGAAGAAAGGTCATAATTTCAATCATTCTTCGTCGGTTTGGTGTGAAAATGATTGCCACTATTCCTGTATTTGAAAATAGTCTTAGTATCACAAGAAGAAAGGGAAAAAATTAAAACAAAAAGAACACAAAACGCTTTAAACGAAAACGCTAGAAAGAAGAGAAAATAAGAGTAAAAAGTGAGAATAAAAGATGGCGCCGGCAATCGAAAACACTCGAAACTGCAAAATGAAAATTGATCATGAGATCATTTACAATTTTTTCTAAAAGAAACAGTCCAATTAATCTATTTTTCAATCGTTTTCCCAGTTTTATCCTTCACTTTTGAAGTTGTCAAAACTTCATTTATTGATTTACAAAAATTATTTGTTCGAGTGAAACTGATCATGACTACTTGTCTTACTTTCTTACCGGTACAAAATTCCTATTTTCTGACAAATGTTTGTCATTTTTTCAACTCCAATTTCCGTAAAGTTAAAAGGTGTTCTGTCTTTATTTTCCCGGCAGAGACAACTAAACAATGTTTTTTTTCAGACACGTACGCTGAATATGACAARATTATAGTCAAAATTAAATAATCGCGTCAAAGATCTATACAATTTGGACCGACTCAAGTACATTCGTAAAATAATATTTACTCTTAAAGCAAATGTTGTTATTGAATCCCTTCTGGTTCGTGGAAATTAAGGTATATATAGCAGCTTGTCGTTCTGCCTTGCTTATTAGAAAAGTTCAAATATAAACTGAAAAGATGCCTCAAAAATTCAAATAGAATGTTCAAATCAAACGGTTAAAAATAGAAACCGTATTTTATCGCAGACGCTACACGATACGTATTTAGCGATACAAAAAACTCGAGGGAAACAATGATCAGTTTCATAAGAAGCAAGCTTTTCTATCCAAACATTTTCAAAAATATTTAATCATCAAAGTGCATATAAAAAGAGATAAAAAGTAATGCAGTTATCGGGTATTCACAGTCGTCGTAACTGCATGGCGGGCACTGTTTTTCTTTTTGGTAATGAAAGATGTGATAAAAGAAGAAGAAAAAAGAAAAAGAAAAAAAAAACCAGATAAAAAGAGTTAAAAAACAAATGATAATAATAATAAAATTTCTTTCACTGCTAAACGAATGTCAAGGTTCACCGCAGGTTCAAAGATTACGGAGCCCATTTCGGTTCGATGTTTCACCTTAGTTCCCTTCAAACATACCGTGACTCTTAAAAAACCTACAATCATCTTCAATCATTCTATTTCCTCCCCTCAAAATATTGTCAAAAAAAACACAATAAACCCTGACAATAAAGTACATGCGTTCTGGAAATTATTTTTCGTGTCGACTTTGTCGGTAATCGAAATTACCGGTACATTGTGCCATTGCCTGTCTAATCTTCTAGTCATCGCCAAAAAATTAAGACAATCTCTCTTAATGAAGTTAGCTATAACATTGATTAGTAATTGCTTACCAAGTATCTCTCTCTCTGTATTCTTTTTTTTCCCGTTTTATATATTGCACGCATATTTTGAAAGCTTGTTTTAACGGTTGAATTTAAAAAGTGAATCCGTACCGAGGACAATAAGTAGTAGCGAAATAGTTGAAGAAAATGGCATTGAAATCATGTTTCTTGATCAGTTTTTAATTAGTTAGCACRAAATAAGATGCAGTGGCCGAATCTGGCAAGCAAATTATATTGGTTTAAYGGTTTTGTATTGTAATATTTTACTTCGACGATGTGGTGGCCATCTTGAACCGCAAGGCATTCTGGGTCGCCAAGGGGGCTTAAAAAAACAAACAAAAAACGATGCTGAAATGACGCGACCCCATGATCATTGGAGAAATTTCCTCAGTTGTGAAACTGTGAATTTTTTTTTTCAATTTTAATTCATCTCGCCTTGTGATCCAAGACGGCTGCCGCGTCCTTCGAAATAGTCCATTAAAACTAAAGCAATATTTGGAGACTGTGTGTCAGATTGTTAATTCTGTTGCTCCCAAGCTCCCTCTTGAACTTCGCGAAAGTTAAATCTAGATATTGAAACTTTTAAACGTCATCTGAAGAAATTAACTTATAACCAACTATTTCTTTTAGTTGTGTTTCAGTGTTGGGCAAAATCTTGATCCAAAATTATCTAAATTATGGCCAAAGTGATACGTAATAGTGAATGCAGGCTCGCTGATTCGAAACCGTGGTTTGCGGAATCGAATCGATTTCAAAATTAATGAAACCGCTAGTGTCTCATGATCGACTTATTCATCATGGACATGATCCTATAGTATATGATAGTGCTTTTTTTTTTGCGCCGATGCTTTGCTGAAGGCGGTAAATATTAAGTCTGGCTCTCACTAGGACGCCAGTCAGTGTAACAAAAGACGCATGTTATCCATGCCCTGACTTAGATCAGCCCAGAGGTTGTTTCGGGATTTGGTCTGTGAGTTAGCTGTGCCCCGACTTAGATCAGCGTAGAGGTTGTTTCAGGGTTCGGTCTGTGAGTTAGCCGTGCCCTGACTTTGATCAGCCAAGAGGTTGTTTCAGGGTTCGATCTGTGAGTTAGCCATGCCCTGAATTAGATCGGCCCAGAGGTTGTTTCGGGATTTGGTCTGTGAGTTAGCCATGCCCTGACATAGATCAGCCCAGAGGTTGTTTCAGGGTTCGGTCTGTGAGTTAGCCATGCCCTGACTTTGATCAGCCCAGAGGTTGTTTCAGGGTTCGGTCTGTGAGTTAGCCGTGCCCTGACTTTGATCAGCCAAGAGGTTGTTTCAGGGTTTGTCGAAGGGAATCAGGAGAAGTAATGGTGGAAATAAAAAATCTAATCCGACAAAAAAACAGCGTTACAATTGTACCAAGTTTCTCTGTTATTTGCGTTTTATTAAGACTCAAGAGCGGTCCTATCTAAATTAAAAAATATTTTCATTGAACACAGAAGAGTGTCCACATAGATACAACTCAATTATTCTTTCGAATTAAAAATTAAACCAATTTGAACACTTCAAATCAGAATGGTCTTTCGTCTTCTTAATCAAAAATATTCAGAAAAAAAAAAAATGATTGAAGTCCTGTCCTTATCTACAAGCAATTACACCAATTGAATATTTTCGTTTGGTGTTACAACTGGGATGTACTTGACGAAGAATTGTCCGGCGTGGATTCTTCGGGAGAACTGGCACTAGCATCCAGTCCACCTCGTGCGTTCAGTAGATTTTGTAGGACAGCGAGAGTCAGCTGTGAATCTGTAAATCCTGTAGTTGAACTACTTTCAGGCCTGGCAGGGGACTGCAGGCCGTTGCCTAGTAACTCATTCATTGACGTGTACGCGTCATCACCTCTTGCTACGCCTGTCCCCATGGCAACAGGTTCACTTGAGTAGCCGGCATTAACCACATTCTCTGTTGCCATGGAAGCAAATGTTGAAGTATTCACGTGGTTCGCAAGGATTTTATCAGAAGTTTCCATGGATACGAATGGTTGCTGGTCGAATGCCATCGATTCTGATTCACAACTTTTTAGCGACTCTGCAGTGCTGCTGGTCTGTTTCGCACGAGTATTGTCCTTGCGATGTTCCTGTCCTTGTAGTTTGTTCGTCGTATCGTTTTGAGATTCAACGTATTCCGGGGGGGACGGTACATCGTCTAAATCTATAGTCACTACGTCATTGGTTCGAGGCCTTGTTTGACCAGATGACACCAAGGGGAGTCCACAACCCACACTCGTCTTTGACATGATATTGCCATTGGTAAGATTCCCAGGCAAACTAGACACAAGATTTGAGGCAAAGTTCGTCCCAGCTTGCATAATTTGTTGGTTTGCGTTGGCCAAAATCGCCGCTTGTGAGGGGAAAATGAGCGGAGATCCAAGTGAATTGGTCACGCTCGTTGACATGGCAACAGGATTGATTGGCATYCTTAGAGACGGATTCGCCGACCTGCTGATTCCCATACTTGGCAAGAGTGCCCGTAACTGGATTGGATTTGTGGAACCATTATGATTGAGAGAAGCGAAACGATACTGATTTGATCCCATGGAAACCTGTGGTAGGTTAAATGCGAAGGCTTGGGACTGAGTTCTCTGAGTGATGGACGTCATAACAGTTGGCTGGGCTGACTGCATTGGGTAGGCAGCTGCGACAGGTCTGATTATATTACCCAGAGGTGGAACTGCTGGTGGGATCCTGAAAAACATTCCCCTCGCATTAGAGGTTTGACAAAACAGACCCCTTGCAACATCCCAGAATGCAAATCAATTTGGAGGAMATAATAATAGGTTTCCAATGTTCTCAGGAGATTAAAAAGAATTTTTTTGTCCTCCAAATCGGGCTGCTTTGACGTCACATGCAAGGGGTCTATAGACCTCTGTACCTTGGAGTGTAATATTTTTCCATTCCACTGAGACCACATGTCATTCCCTAGAGCATTGTTTCTTCGTTTAACGTTGCTTATAAGACACATGAATATGGATACAACTCAAAACAAATCTCATTCTCAAGAACATGACACGTTGTTTGAAATGGGAAAACATTACACTCAAGTTTCGTAAAATAAGTCAGATATCCCGGTATGGAGAGAGGAGAGAGGAGAGAGGAGAGAGGAGAGAGGAGAGAGGAGAGAGGAGAGGACCCTTGCTATCCTATTGTTTTACCTTTTTGGTTCTGTTGGATTGTAGTTGTACCGACCTCCTTGCTGTGCCATGTTCTTCTCTCTCTCATAACCTACGAGACATCAAACAAATATGAATGTCAATGGGATGCCATCGGGTGGATCATTTTGCTCTTTCATGCTGTAGCTCAAGCTGTGATTGAAACCGACCCTTGGATTTCTGCAATGGTAGAATTAATAACAATAGCCCCCTTCACAGTTCTCTGCGCCATCTTGAAAGGTAGCCGTGCCTTTGCATCGAAGCGAGACGAACGGTGAGCTCGCAATGATAGAGTCATGTGAATAATTGTCCAAGGTGTTAAAAAAGGTCAAGAATGATAAAATGACGGGCAAGTAATGCAAGTCACCCGACATAAAGAGAGACGATTGGCATTTGTTTACTGCTTTTAACACATCTTAAGTGCCTCATATGGGCCTCAAATGACGGGCAAACAATGCCCGCCAAGATAAACGTTTGGCATTTGTTTATCACACTTAGTTCGTAAAACCGGAAATAATGTCGTTGTAGGCAATCCCTCCAATACAGGTTCAAAAATTCTTAGGATTTGGTATAATTATCACAGCAAAAGGGAAAACAGGTGCTTCTCAGTTGGAATATTATTATCTCCCGAGATATGACGCACTTGCCTTACCCTTGTTTACGTGCAGCCCGACTTTGACTCTGATAACAAGGAATAAACCCCAGGTTTTAAGTCTTTGAGTGGGGACTGAGAAAGGTAGTTATAGCCAATCAGCAAACTTGTAAGAAAGAGCCAATCAGAACGCGAACGGAAAACAGTTACGCTGTTGGGGATCACGGAACTAGAAAACTGTCACTGGACTTACCCACACTTAGCCGAATTATGAATAATCACAGCCCACTCTATCAACGTTATATATATATACGACCACTTATTATGTCCCTGTTTGAGTTCTTAAGAAACTATTGATGACCTACTCACAATTTTTGTCTCACTTAAAATAAAAACTATATACACTTCACAGGATTTATATGTTTTCTAGCTCAGCGCCTCAAGCTGGGCCTTCGACCCTGTGGAATTCATTAATGCCAAAGTAAATGACAAAAAATCACCCAGCAAAACTTATATATACTTAATAAGATTTTAAGGACCTTTTTTCGCTTCTCGCTTCTCCCTTTTCGTGAGCTTTAATTCTTTCTTATCGACTAGGAGTGATTCATGCTTGAAGGGGACCTGTGAATAAGAAAGGATAAGAATTAACTGAAGGAGTAAGATAAGCTAAATTTAGGGTTTGTGGGTGATAAAAACGGGGAAATAAAAGAAGATTAAGCGTGGGTGAAAACTAATCTCAAGTCATTCTATTCGCTCATTTTCTTCTTCTCAGGCGAAGACTTAAAAAATCTATCCTTTAAGCACAGACCAACGGGTCGAAACAATTGCAGATATGAAATGACAACGATTTTCTTTCATTCCCTACTCACCTTGGATAACCAATTAGAACAGTTCCTGCAGATTCGCTTTAAAACTAGATCAGAAAACTTGTTTGCAGCGGATGCGACATCCTCTGCCTGGACATCTGGTTCCTGTGTAAGTAAAGTTGAAGATTGGATAGGATGAGATAACTAAAACAAGATCGTTTGCTAATAACCTTAGCGGAGATAAAGAGACTTGGGAAAGCGGCGTGTTGACTCCAGACCGTTTCACACTGGAATTACGTCAGTACGACACTTAAATGGTTTACACCAGAGCCAATTAATCAACCAAAACATATCTTTTTTATGCCGCTTCTAATTCACTAGAAACCGACCCAGAGATCTCAAACACTTGCGGAATTTCACGGCTTTATGAACTAAGATTTCAGGAAAATAATCGCGATCTTTAAGGAAATAAATTTAAAGTTGAAAATGAGTGCCAAAAGAGCGTTATAAATATCTTGGTGTGTTTAGGTGTTAATTGCAGCATTCAGGGAAGTGGGGCTGAAGGTGTATTAAAAAGAGAGAAAAGAGATTCGAAATATCCATGTTTATTATATTTACCTTATCACAAATCAATGACATTATTTCTTGTTTGGTAAAGTTGGCTTCGGGATTGAGCTCATCTACAACTCGATCTGGAATTGAGAAGAAAAATAATAATAACAAATGAATATAATCTTGAAAATAGTCAAAGAATCTTGATTTTTAATGCGCAAGAGATTACTCCAAGGTTTAGAACATCGTATCATGAAATGAAAATATGGTAATGGAAGGTAAAGAAAGGATTTAAAAGAATAGTCTTGATCGAACAAATGAAGGACTAAATGAAAGAAAGAATAAAAGAATAAACACATAAATAATATGAATATGAATAAAAGGAAGAATGAATGAATGGACAAATGAATGAATGAATGAATGGATGAATGAATGAATGAAACTAAGAATGAATGAATGAATGAAACTAAGAATGAATGAATGAATGGATGTATGGATGGATAGATGAATGAATGAATGCAYGAATGAATGAACGAACAAAGAGGATGGATGAATGAATGGGCGAATTGATAGATAGATGGACGGACGAGACGGACGAACAGATGTAATTTTTCTCCCATGCATAGAAAAGAGCTCAAATTCGAAATCACAGGGTTTGTGTGGGTTACTTTAAAGACGGTGGACTGAATTGTCATTTAATCTGTTCTTCTTAATTAAGACTTTGATATCCGCAAGAATATTTCCGTTTACAGAATCTTGAAAACATTTAGACAGTTTTAAAGGAAGCGTCCATAAAAGCCTCCAAGTTCAGACTTCATCCTTGCAGTGCTTCTGACATCTTTGTGTGACAGCCTTCCAGAATAATGTCTAGAAAGTTAGACATGTTTACACTAAGTTGCGACATTTTTAAAGGAATTTTATTCAGATGTAAGATGTATTATTACTTGCAACGCCTTGTTTAGACACTTGTCTGTCGTAAATCTTCTTCTCCATTGTTCCAGTACTAACGAGTCTGTAAATATGTGATGGTTTCTTCTGGCCGTAACGATACACCCTTAGTAAAATAAATACAGATTAAGGGACAATAGGTCACAGGAAGGATACTCTTTACACAGAGGAGGATCCAGGGCTATCCCAAGTGTCCGCCTTGCGAGCTTATTGTTTTCTTTGGTTTCAACCGCTTTATGTGCGTCTTTTTCTAAAGATACTTCTGCTACTACTACTAATACCAATACTAAGGTTTTGTTTTAGCACTGATTTAATGAAGATATTTCCGAACTAATTTGTAAAATAAGAGTAGCCAGTTGTAGGATCGGTACTGAACCTGAAAGTATTCCTAGGTACTCCAGTATTTTGACGAGTAACTAATTTGTAAAATAAAAGTATTCAGTTGTAGGATCTGTACTGAACCTAAAAGTACTTCAAGGTACTCCAGTATATTGACGAGTATCTCTTAACTTCTTGAGCAATTCAGAAAGTAGATATTGTTAAAGGGTGATATATATACTATATTAAAGTACAATCGATTTTTTTTAAATTTCTTTATAAATTAATTTCAGCAATGCACGATGGGATAACTCTAGATCCAAATCTGCTTTTAACAACTCCAAGTAGACCGTTTTCTCAAGGTTGCATGTGCATCCAAATTTAGCGTACTTGACGGGCCAAGATACCAGAACATGAGTATTATCATGCATTGCTATGAAATTTTTTCGATAAGAGTTCATAAAATCAATTATTCTTCTCTTTTAATATCAAACTGTCTTCTCAATTTTACTGAATTTGCGTTTTTCGGTTTTGCGACCCGTCAAGTTGGATGCGCACGCAACCTTGAGAAAACGGTCTGTTGGATTATACCACAGGTAGCCCAAACTAGATCCATCTCTGACAAGATCCCACCACAGGTAGCCCAAGTTTTACTCCCCGAACATGACATAATTCAGTTATGTAGTGTGGTGTGATTTACCTGCATACAGCTTGTACATCATGACAAGGATTCCATGAGGCATCAAACACTACTACACGGCTTGCTCCGATGAGATTAACCCCTAGGCAGCCTGCCCTATTGAAAGATGCATGGATTATTAGGTAAAATTATTAATAGCTACAGTTATTTAGTTTAAGTTATTTAAAAAAAAGATTTTGAGAGCATGGTCGTTTTCTGGTCAATCGGCAACGCTTGGCCACGAATGTTTTACTGAATTCTCGTCTGACGTCATATCGACCGTGTTGGATGACTTCCCTAAAATATAATATTATTTTGGTCTTGGTCATTTCTATATACCGAACCAACATAGCAGCATGCCCATACGAAGACATGCACAAAATTTTTACAATCATTTCTCCTGCTTTCTCCAGAGATAAGAATGATGTGTAATCAATGGTTTCAGGCTAAAAAGAGATATGCTTTAGTTGGTCAACATACCTTGTGGATAGCATGAACAACAGTACGTCGGCGTTATCTGGTGAATTGAATGCAGTGATGAGGCGATCTCTCTCCTGAGATGGAGTGCTGCCATCAAGCCCTACAGACAAGTAAGGGATACTATAGTTCAGGAACACTAGGCAATATGAATGCATGAAGCTGGGAACTATTTTCTATATTTTTATGAAATATATAAAATATATGGTACTGTAAGGAAACAAGGGAGGAAGGAAGGAAGGAAGGAAGGAAGGAAGGAAGGAAGGAAG